GTAACAAAAACATTTGGCTGCTGGCCAACGACGCCAACTCGGGCGTCATCGGTTTCATCAGCTGCCTGCACAAGGAGCCACTGGGCACCCGTGTTCGCTGCATTCTCAACACCGACACTGAGGGCACGCCTGCCATTGACCTGCAGTCGGCCACCGTGCAGAAGATCATCAAGCAGGACCTGTTCATGAACACTCTCGGGCCGAAGGGCGTTCCCGGAGGCTACAAGCACTTCACCCTGCCGCTGGAGGACTACGAGCCGCGCCCCACGGAGCACTGCTACATCAACGCCTCCACTCGAGGCGACCTGTCCAGTCTGAAGTGGTTCGAGTCGCAGCACAAGCACTGGCCGGTGAACTCGCGCCCCAACCAAATACTCTGCCACGTCTACTACTCGGCGCTGAACTTTCGCGACATTATGCTGGCCACGGGCAAGCTGCCGCCGGATGCGCTGCCCGCCGAGATTGGTCTCGACGACTGCGTCCTCGGCCTGGAGTTCGCCGGTCGCGACCAGAATGGCAACAGGGTGATGGGCATGCTGGCGGCGAAGGGCCTGGCCACGACGCTCATCATGGAGCACCAGAATTTCCTGTGGCCAGTGCCGCCGCACTGGAGCATGGAGGAGGCGGCGACGGTGCCGGTGGCCTACGCCACCGCCTACTACGCCCTCCTCATTCGCGGCAAGATGCAGCCCGGCGAGGCGGTGCTCATCCACTCGGGCAGCGGGGCCGTCGGCCAGGCGGCCATCGCCATTGCCGTCGACATGAACTGCCGCCTCTTCATCACCGTCGGCTCCGATGAGAAACGGGACATTCTCATGCAGATCTTCCCCTCGCTGAAGGCGAACCAGTTTGCCAGCTCGCGAAGCATCGAGTTTTCGCGGAAGATTCTCCAGGAGACCAATGGACGAGGCGTCGATCTGGTGCTGAACTCACTCGCAGAGGAGAAGCTCCAAGAGAGTGTCAACTGTCTGGCGGAGTTTGGCCGCTTCCTCGAGATTGGCAAGTACGATCTGTCGCAGAACACTGATCTAGGTAAGAGTGGCTTCTTATTGTTTAGATGTTTGAATTTAAAAAATGTTTCATGTTTTTCCTTTCAGATCTGTCCAAGATTATGGCAAACAAGACCTTCCACGGCATTCTGCTGGACAACTTGCTGAACTTTGGACCCGAGACGCCACAGCATATCAACAATCATCGTGCTCTGATTTGGAAGCTGATGCGTGGCGGCATTGAGAAGGGCGTCGTCCGCCCGCTGGATCGAACCATCTTTTCGGTGGACCAGGCCGAGGAGGCCTTCCGCTACATGGCCAATGGAAAGCACATCGGCAAGGTGCTGGTCTGCATTCGACCGGAGGAGAAGGTCGACGAGAAGGGCGTCGTGAACGTCGCCACGGAGCTGAAGCTGCCGGCCATTCCGCGTACGGTCTTCCTCTCCACCAAGTCCTACATCATCACCGGCGGCCTGGGCGGCTTTGGCCTGGAGCTCATCAACTGGATGGTGGAACGAGAGGCGAGGAACTTTGTGGTCACCTCTCGCAGCGGCGTCAAGGACCTCTACCAGAAGACCCGTCTGGAGCACTTTGCCCGCCTGGGCGCCAAAGTGAAGATCTTCACCGGTGACGCCTCTGTTGAGAGCGGCGCCGATGAGCTGGTGAAGGAGGCGGAGTCGCTGGCCCCACTGGGCGGCGTCTTCCACCTGGCCATGGTGCTCAGTGACGGCCTCTTCGACAACCAGACGGTGGCCTCCTTTGAGGCGGCGGTCAAGCCGAAGGCAGACACCTTCACGCACCTGGATCGCATCACCCGAAAGCGTTGCACGCAGGTGGACTACTTTGTCGCCTTCTCCTCGGTCAGCTGCGGCGTGGGCAACCCTGGGCAGACTAACTACGGCTTTGCCAACTCGGTCATGGAGCGAATCTGCGAACAGCGACGACGACAGGGCCTGCACGGCTTTGCCATTCAGTGGGGCGCTATCGGTAAGTCAAGTCAACAGTTTGAAGTGTGAGGTGAATGTAAACAAAGGCTTCTAAAACGTGTGTTGTGTTTTTTTCAGGCGACGTCGGCTACATCATCGACAACATTCGCGGCAATGAGGTGGTCATCTGCGGCTCCATTCCCCAGCGAATGCCCTCCTGTCTGGCCGCCCTGGACCGTCTCCTCCAATCGCCCTTTTCCGTGTGCTCCAATCTAATCAAGATGGACTACAAGTTTGAGTCCTGCGGCAAGAGCAGCCTGATCAAGACCGTTGCTCACATTCTCGGCATCAAGGACTACGAGACGCTGGAGGCAAAACTGACGCTGGGCGAGCTGGGCATGGACTCGCTGATGGGCGTCGAGGTGAAGCAGGCCATTGAGCGCGACTACGACGTGGTGCTCTCCATGGGCGACGTTCGTAAGCTGACCATCGGCAAGATTCGGGAGATTGGCGCCGGCCAGGCGAAGAACAGCCCCAACTCTGCCGACCCGTCGGCCACCGGAGAGGGCGATCGCCCCGAGACGTCCATCGACGAGACGCTGATGCCCAGCGCGGCGGTCACCTATCTGAATGACATCGTCAACGGCGACCCGATCATCTTCCTGCCGCAGATTGACGCCACCTACGAGCAGATGCTGCCGCTCGCCGCGAAGCTCAACCGCCCGGCGATTGGCCTCAACTGGACCAAGGAGTGCAAGGACCTGAAGACGGTGCACAGCACGGCCGCCCACTTCATTGAGGTGATTGAGCGAACGTTGCCGCACCTGGAGAGCAACTACGACCTGCTGGGCTACTCATTCGGCGGCATCATCGCCATCGAGATGAACATTCAGCTGCACAACCGTCCGCCGGCGGGCCGACTGGGTCCTTCTCGAAAGTTGATCCTCCTCGACTCCTCGCCGAAGCAGTTTAAGTTCTTCACTGAAGAGGCGGTGCAAAAGTTCAAAATTTATGACAAAACCAATGACCAGGCCTTTGTTGAGACGATTCTCATGTTTCTACTGGCAAAGTTGCCCATCGACTACGCCAAGATTAAGGAGACTCTCCTCAGCCTGGAGGACACTGCAAAGCGAATCGAGTTTGTCCGGGACCTCTTCAAGCAGATGCAGGGCGTGGACATTCAGTCGGAGACGCTGGAGTTTCTCATTCAGAGCCACTACAACAAGATGGCCATGATAAATCAGTACGAGTGTCAGGAGAAGTCGCTGCCCGGCGATGTGATGCTCATCCGAGCGTCAAAGTCTCTGGTGGTGCAGACTTCGGGCATTGTCAATGAGGACTACTGGCTGAGCGAGGTGAGGAGATGACTAAAGCCTTTTGTGATCTAACATTCTAACGCCATTTTTTCTCCCTAGATCATCACCGGAAAGTGTCACCTGCACGTGCTTCCTGGCGACCACAAGACCTTTATCACCGACAACTACCCTCAGCTGACTGAACTAGTTAGAACTTACTACGAACTTTAATAGCCGTAGCACTAGACA